AGCATTCCAGAACGACAGCTTCTGAGTAGGATAATCAAACCAAATATTTTGCTTAGAATGGCTACTTGAATGTTATTCTCAGAGCCATTTTGGAAATGGTCGCATTAATCCTCTCTAGTCGGAATGAGTTAATACCGTTGGGCTGTTCTACTCGGAAGTCACCATTCTGTGTTCTCAATTTTCTGCCTGGATCAGATACTGTACTAGAATGTTATTCCCAGGGGTGTTTTGTGCCTGGTGGCATCAATCTCCTTCAGTTGGATGGGATGGGTGAATTTTGTTGCGCTGCCCTATTCAGAAGTTACCATTCCGGGCTTTCCCCCACAATATCAATTGTTTGCCTAGAATGCATTTGGGTCTGGTTGCATTGATCTCCTCCAGCTGGACAGGATGACTGCATTTTGTTGGGCTGCACTAAGTACTGAAAGGTTGCATTGATCTCCTCCAGCTGGATAGGATGACTGCATTTTGTTGGGCTGCACTACGGAAATCATCGTTCTGCTATGTTTTTTGTAATACCGATTTTCTGTCCAGTAGAATGTTGTTCCTGTGGGGTGTTTTGGCTGTTAGAAGTCACCGTTCTGCTACGTTTTTGGCAATATTGATTTTCTGTCCAGCACAGGCAGTAGCATGTTGTTCCTGTGGGGTGTTTTGGCTGTTTGCATTTGTCCAGTGGGGCAGGGGAATTTTATTGGGCTGCTCCACTTGGAAGTCACCACTCTGAGCATGTTTTCACAATGTCAATTTTCTGCCAGTAATAAGTACTGGACTGATGATTTGTGGCTTGCTGCATCTGTTTCATCTAGTCACACATGTGTCATGAATTTGGTTTGATTATCTTACTTGGAAGTTGCCATTCTGGGTTGCAGTGTTCCATTATGGCAGGATTTGTGGGGGGGCGATAAAGGGTTAATGAATGAGTAACATTTTGGGAGTTTGAGGTCTAAAATATTGTTCTGATGTTTATCTATTGCATCCCACTCTTTTTGGAATAAATTGTTATTAAGACTTTCCCATTCCACCCCATTCCATTTTCCAGCTTTTGTCTGGTCCTGTATAAATGTCTTACTTATTACTTTGCTTGTCCTTATTAAAAATAACAGTCATAAAATCTCTAGAGTGCATTCCAAATTCAGTGTGATGCTCTGAGCATGTGATCTCTTTTTCCCTTTTATTTTTTTAGAAAAGCAGCTGTGGGAATATGCTGGTAGCTTCCTTGTGTATTGATTCTGCAATGAAAGTCACATTACAGGGCTACCATAAGCTGCAGAAGGCAAAACATGTAGGGTGAGCACACACATGCCAAGCTTTTCCCATTAGATGAAAAAGAGCTCTGGGGTAATACTGTGGAATGATTTGCACTGGGAAACTGGAACAATGAAGAGGAACAGAGAAAGGATTAGCTCCCTTCCTTCGGCTGTGACTGTGAATAAAATTACCAGTAGATTTTAGGAAATGCATATATGCAGCTCACCCAGTTTGATGGTAAGGCTGCAATGCTATGCTAAATTATCCGGGAGTAATTTCCTCAAGTTTTCCTATGAAGCACCTTCCTTAGATGTTAGGAAATAATCTACAATACCTCCTGGCCTCACCTTCCTTTTTTTGGAGGGGGGGTGTCAGTAGCACAGACTTTCTTTTTGGGGCGCCACTTTTCCCTGGGCATTGGGCCTGTGCGCATGCACCAAGGAAGAAGGGGTGAGACACAGTCCAGATTGATCCGGATGCCAAAATTCCTAGTTCAAGTTCTGTCTAGCATGCTCACCCTGAGCTTAGTCTTTGCACCAGGAGAGCCAGGGAAGCATAGCAATTCCCTTGGACTTTGGCTGATGCGTGGTGAGCCAGCAGTCCTGCTCCTTGAAACGGATGCTCTTTTTCTCTGTATCTGAATTTTATTTCCTATTTTCTGTTTTTTTTGTTTGCAAGGTTGTCAGATCAGCCGCTTCCCTCTCCCTGAGAGTTCAGGGCCAAAACATGAACTCATGGGACAGGCCTTTGGGATGTCACAGTATGGTGCATTGTGTAGCAAACACAAAGATATACATGTGCGACAATGTGGATTTCCTGCACTACTTCCTAAAGCAATATTGGATGTGTACCACACATGCAAACTCTTCATATTGAGCCTCTGAACCTTGGTAATTACTGGGAATATGGTGGAGATATATGCTCAGGCATTAAAGCAACTATGTACAGACAAACAAAACCCCCACAAACACATAGAAAATCAAACTTTCAATTTCTACTGCACTGCTTACTCTAAGATTTGCTTCTCTGCCTGGTGAAACATGGCTGAGATTCCAGCTGGTGCCCCACAACCAATCACTGCTTGTGTTGTTGCCCCAGAGTGCTTTCTGTGTTAGGTCAATTCTGAATTTACAAGCCTGTTCTGTCCCAAGCAAGAGGACTGAGTCTCAAGTCACACTGTCTCCTGGAGACTCTCTGGTGGAGAGTGGGTGAATCAAAGAAAAATACAGAAGCACTAACCACAGTTGGCAGGCCTCCTCATTGGCAGACTTAGCCAGGGATGCCAGTGAGTCATGAAGCACTGAGACTGAAATATCCCCCTCAGGCCCAAGGCAATCCTCAAAGGTCAGAGCTGAGCTACATGGCAGATCACTACGAACAAAACTGCACCTGTCAGTGGTTAAACTGTGCTAACCTCACCTTCTAGGGTGGATGATCTTGTGCCAGCAGTGAGCATGCAAACCTCTGTTGCTATGTGTGAGGCAACAAAGTGCTCTCATGCATTTATTCAACAGTTATTCTGGCACGGTGTAGATGGAAGTGGATGGTTATAACCAGGTGAAGAATATTAAAACCACAAGGAAATGGGAAAGGTGCACACAGAGAGAGTACACGCCATCTGGATGCAGATCCACTTGGCACTATTGGGCATCTCCACCTGGGGGAAGCATCCCTATCTTGTAGAATATTTACTCGGGCATAAATTGTGCAACAACTGCTTGGGATGGGCAGGCAGGAGAATCATAGCCGTTTATTGGAGAGGCAGAATTATTTTGCAATGTCTTCTTCCTCTAAATGGAAACCTCCCTCTAAAGGGTGCTGGTGCTTTCTCTCTCTCTCTCTCTCTCTCTCTCTCTGTGTGTGTGTGTGTGTGTGTGTGTGAGAGAGAGAGAGAGAGAGAGAAAGAGATCTACACTTTACACGGTAATGTTGTACAGACAATAGGCAAAGAAAGCATGTTGTACAGACAATAGGTAAAGAAAGCCTCTCAGCTTCATTCCACAATCTGAATAACTAGTCTCAGCATGAAGCTATGTGGCTCCCTTGCGCTACCTCTTCCCCACTCAACTCCAGTGGACTGTCTTTGAATACACAGTCTATTCGGCTTCCTCATTCATATCTACATTTATAGTGAGCCTCAGAGCCTGGTGAAAAGTAAGCAAGATTCTGCCCAGGACTGAACCTGAAGCATGAAAGTAATGAATTACAAGGAACCCCATAAACTTCAACAAGTTACCTTTGTTTTGGCAATGAGCACATGACAATGTTAAATTTTGTTGAAGGGAGAACAACTTTACTTCTTGGTGTAATGAGTAATGTAGCTGCTTTTTGCTCATCTTTACAAGGTATTTAGGAGACATTTTAATTCCAGTTTATTCCATTCTCCTATGAATTTTGAGATGGCTTTCCCCCCTTTCCTAAACATGGCAATGAAACAGCAACAAAAGTCATGAGTACACAAAAGGCAACACACACAGCTTTCTTTTAAAAAAAACTTCCTAGCAAGTAATGATAATGAATATTGAAATGCTTCATTAAGTAACAGGAATGAGTCACTTTTTAAAAGGAAGTTTCCAAGCTCTAGCTGAACCTGACATATTCTGCTCTACACCAACAGGCTTTTGAGAAACAGACTCATCTCCCTGAGATGTGTCACATATGTCCACACATCATTTAATTTCTTTATTTCATCAGCTTACTTCATAATACAGGAGTCATTTATTCTTTCATAAGCTATGCATGGATTTCCCTATTCATGTGTCCTGTCTTCACAGAAATGTTCAAAAACAAATCAGATCAGGGGTATATATTTGATTTGGAAGTGACAAGGAGGTGGAGCGAAGAGCTTCTAGTCACTCTGGAGCAGAGCAATAAACCATTCGGCATTTGTGAGATTACAAAAATGTTCAAAGAAGTGGAGTTATTTGAATGAAGAAAGCAAAATCAAATGTAAGCCTGTTATTAGTATTCTGAGATGCAGGTTCCAAAGGAGAAGGTGAATGAGGGCTGAACGTCTTAGAAAATCCAGGATATCTCCCGACATTCCAACCACTGCAAGCTGAGAGGGCTTAAACTGAGATTTCTTGTTGTTACAGGCTGTCAGGTTGGATCTGATTTATAGTGATCATATTAGGGCTTTCAAGGTAAATAAGATATTTTAAGGAGTGCTTTACTAGTTCCACTTCCCGCTATGTTTCCACGGCTGAGCAGGGATTCAAACCCAAGTGCCCTAGTCCACCACTCTGTCCACTACACCACACTTGAATTCCTGTAGGCTGAGAGAGTGTACTGTATGATGCACAGTGTATCAACCTAGTTATTTCATGGTTTTCTTATGCACATCATAGTTTTCTTATACACATCATTGGGAAGCTCACACCAGACTAAATCTGCAGGCATTTCAAAGAACTGAAGTGGTCTGCCAGTTGAATTGGAGGACCCTTGCATAACCCTAATATATACATACCTCTGTGTTTCCATGTGCATGAGCTCGGGCATGTGTGCGTGCAAATGTGAATAGGTATAAACACAAGCATATACATACACACCAACTCAACTGGTTCATTGTCCCTATAATTTCTTGCATACCATCAAAGTCACCATCTTTCCTCATGGCTTGGATTGTTCATGTCCAAGAAAGATATTGCAAAATTAGAATCAAGAAAGTCTGTAGGTTTGAGGGCATGATACATATAGTATTTTGACCACATATGCAGAGGACTTTCTAGAGATGAAGTGCTAACTCACATTACCTTGAGCTATGTAAGGCGTGCTCTCCTCTTTCACAGGCATGAAAGAACGAGGTGCAGGTGCCGGTGGCCGGTTCATAATAAAGGATTTGCCTCCTCTTCTCTCTTTAATTGCATTACCGAGAATTATATCGTACACCCCATCTCTAAACTCAGCAGAAAGGTATGGATCTTCCTCTTCTACTTCCTCGGAGTTGTCTTCTTTTTGGTCTCCACGTATTATTTTGGTTACCTCTTCATCAGTCACTGTCTCCCATGCTGAAAAATACATACAATGATGTATGCATTATCTGAACTCCATGGTGGATGTGAAAACACCAGGAAAAGACCACCAATGTATACTTTATGCAAAAGATCTCGACTGCATGTGAGAATGGCCAGCAATTTTTTCAGGATGGTCGGGTATGCCGACACTGGTTCTTATTTCTTATAATTGCCTATGCAAATACTGGGAGAAACATTTCTCACTCCAAATTACTAATTCTCCGTCTGATTAAAAAATCATTTCCTGAAACAGTTTTGCAAAAATATCTGTACCTATAGGACTGTAACTAGGGTAGAGCAATGGGGGCTTTGCTCCAGGGCACAAAAATTTAGAGGGCACCAAAATCTAGAGGTGAATCCACTGGTGAGTGTTACAAAAATATACAACAATATCTCCCAACCCTATTCCCTTCCCTTCCCCCACACCCAAATTTAACATTTCTCTCTCTTTTGGGGGCACTCCACATTCTCCTCCTCCTTTTTCTTACTGAGGGTTTGCATTTATGCCTCAGAGCAACGTGAGCAGGATATGGTGCTGTTTGCCCTGGGTGCCAAAATAGCTAACTGCAGCTCTATATAACATTAGTATTCACCATATTATCAGCTTTTTAGCATTTGAGACCTCTGACAGGAATAGGACTAGAAACTGATGTATGCATTATCTGAACTCCATGGTGGATGTGAAAACACCAGGAAAAGACCACCAATGTATACTTTATGCAAAAGATCTCGACTGCATGTGAGAATGGCCAGCAATTTTTTCAGGATGGTCGGGTATGCCGACACTGGTTCTTATTTCTTATAATTGCCTATGCAAATACTGGGAGAAACATTTCTCACTCCAAATTACTAATTCTCCGTCTGATTCAAAAATCATTTCCTGAAACAGTTTTGCAAAAATATCTATACCTATAGGACTGTAACTAGGGTAGAGCAATGGGGGCTTTGCTCCAGGGCACAAAAATTTAGAGGGCACCAAAATCTAGAGGTGAATCCACTGGTGAGTGTTACAAAAATATACAACAATATCTCCCAACCCTATTCCCTTCCCTTCCCCCACACCCAAATTTAACATTTCTCTCTCTTTTGGGGGCACTCCACATTCTCCTCCTCCTTTTTCTTACTGAGGGTTTGCATTTATGCCTCAGAGCAACGTGAGCAGGATATGGTGCTGTTTGCCCTGGGTGCCAAAATAGCTAACTGTAGCTCTATATAACATTAGCATTCACCATATTATCAGCTTTTTAGCATTTGAAAACTCTGACAGGAATAGGACTAGAAATATTAGGCTGAGAAATGAAATTCTGTTTTCCTGAATGCTCTTGTATTTCTATTGAGTCCTAAATTTCTGCTTAGAGCATATTTTTACTTATACCAGGCTCACTGTTATTGCTTTTCCCCAAAGGATTCTGGGAATATAGCTCAAAAATTCAGATGTGTTTTCCTATTTAAATACCAGCTGTGCTATTTTTGAGTAACTATTGCCATTTCTCATTACTTTAATACATTACTGGTGATTCTTTGTGATTTTAAATAAATTTTAATGCAACCTGCTGGGATTAATTAACATGAATGGATTAACAAACAAGTTAATTATGTGCCCCTTCCCCAAGATCTATCTGAGAATTGCATTTTGGCCAGAGCTGACAACAAAGTCCACTGAAAGAATGACAGTCCAAATATATCTCACTGGATTATCCCTTTAGAGAAAGACAGTCCAAATGTTTCTCTCTGGATTGCTGATGTCTCATAAATAGGAATTCTCGAATCTGACAGGCACACTTCCCCCCACTTTTAACATTTTAAACTTTGTGTTGTCTTGTTTTGAGGATTTTTTTTTGGTCTTGTAAACAAGGAATGGAATGAAAATATTACTCATCTGCATTGACCCCAATCAATAATTACAGTTGTTTTCACCACGAAAATGGCAAGTATATCTATTTTCACCAGATACACCTGGCTACCAAAGCTTGCAATACTAATTTCTCACCCATTCAATCTTACTATTTTAACCAGTTTATGCACCTCATTGTGCCACATAAAACGAGCAGCCTCAAGTTACCTGCATCTTTGGTTAAGCAATCCCAAGTTATCAGTCAGCTTCTCTTGGCTTTGTTCTAGAGCGTCCTGGCAGAATTGACCATATATCCCATAGCTTGTTGTTGTTTAGTCGTGTCCGACTCTTCGTGACCCCATGGACCAGAGCACACCAGGCCCTCCTGTCTTCCACTGCCTCCCG